GCTTATTATTTTACAATCATTAATCAAAGAATTAATATAAATATAGTTCAATTAATTCAGAAACGGTAAACTTCAGGAGGCTCCATCCTTTACTTAAAAACAAATATTCAAATATATATATATATATATATATATATATATATATATATATAATGGTTAACTCGTGCATTTAAAATGTGTTTGAGAATACCTTTGAAATAAGTTTTACATTTTGTACTGAAATGTTTATAGTTATTTTTATGTTCTCTTTTTTGACAAGTGTTTCTTGATGAATCTGGGCTAAAAACAATTTATACATGTTAAGTGTTTTTGGGAAGGATAATATTTCTCTTGAACTTTGTAAAAAAAATATTTCTCTTGATTACAACTATTTTTTTTTTCTGAAAAAAAAAAAAATCTTCTCTTTCATCCATCTCAGTCATATTCTCCCCTGCTATCTACAAATACTTAATGGAGGTAGTATAAATCTTCCACGCTCAAGTCAGTAGGAAAGTATATATTTTCTTTTACCTATCATTTCAAATACTTTTTTTTCTTTAAGATTTAAATACTATTTTACTTTCTTTTACAAACACTTCCAGGTTTAAGGATTTTGGAGAATATAAAAATTATTATCAAACATGCTCTTAAGGCTTATCAAAATAGGCATGAATCCAAATAAAAATCAATCAGAATCAAATCAATGGAAACGAGAACGTTATTTCTTCACGTTCTTTATAGATTCTTTCGAGAATTATAATCATAATTCCTTTAGTGTTGTTTATTAAAATTGTCAAACGAGCATAATTCTTTCTTTTATTGAGCTAATTCCAAATAAATTATTGTGCTTGTTTGGGGTGAAAATCGCATTGCTATTGGAAGGATAAAGAGAGGCCCATCTGGACACGTCCTGAAAATCAGGCCATCTCGAATGGTCCCGTGGTGCTATACTTTGCCGCAAATGCATGATGGGAGCCTACCTAGCATCCAAGTCTGACCCACAATTTGAGACATGTTCAACCTACCGTCCGACACCCATAACTGCCTATTAGGAGACTTGTCGAATCCCCAACCTATAAATAAAAACATCACTTCTGTAGATAGGTAAAGAATTCTATCTCGAACGTCTTATTGAGTTCGAGCTGAAACTAACTTAAGCGTCGAAGTGTTTGCCTATCTAGTACAGGTCATTTTCAAACAAGATAGAAAGTAAATATTAGTAATATAAATGAAAAAAATAATTAATTTTAAAAATTATAATATATGTAAGGAGATGTCTTAGACTTGCACCAAACTTCTTTCGCAAACTTAATAAAATGTTTTTCAATACAAAGTTTCTTTCCACCTCAAAATCTATCTATCTACGTGGGACACCTAAAAAGTCATTTTGGTCGTAAAACTAATTTTTTCCTTTTGTCATTTTCAACAAATATTACGTGTAAGGTTTAGAAAATATATGAACCTCAAAGACTAACTTTTGGGAAAAGATTAAATTAAAACGAAAAAACAAAATAGGTAAGTTATCCATATTGCAATGGTCAAAAGATCTCTATAGATTATCATCTTTAGAATTCTATTTTGTTGCTAAGATAGACAGCTCGCGTCAATTATTGTTGAACTCTTACCTTTCAATAAGCATAGATAAAAGATAGTCTCTAAATCAAACTAAAAATCTATTCATCTCATTTTAAGAGGTCGAGTTCATTATATTATGAAATTGTAAATTTCTTTTTTTTTGTTGAATATAACATGTAGAGGTGRGAAATTCGAACTCACGACCTTTTGGTCGGACATAAGTGTCATAAATCGTTGAGCTAGTTATGTTCAAATTAACTTTGAAATTGCAAATTAAATGAAGTTATACCATCCAGTTCTCCTAAATAAATCTTGAACTTAAAAAAAAAAATATTTTGTCCATAAAAGTTTTAAGTATTATAGTTTAGACATTGAAAATCAGCATAAAAAACCATTATTGAATTTTCTGTTAATTTTTTAAGAAAAATTAGTTAAATAAAACTTCACATAAACACATATTTTACTCATTTACCTCATCTATAGAGATTGGTGTTTCAAGTCATGTGTATAGTAAGTTAGATGTTGGGTTTCTAATATTGAAAAAAAGGTAATTATAAAAGTTAAAATAGCTTCCTTTAATGTAAAGTCCAAAAATTTTAAATTGGACGTTAAAAAGTTTAGTAAATTCCCAAACGAAATAAATGTTAAAAACCACCTGTTTAGCATTTTGTTTTATGTTTTTTTCCGAAAAAAAAACTGATTTATTTGATAATCAATTCAACTTTTCCTAAAAATATTTTTTAAATTCTTAATAAATTTCAAAAACAAACAAAAAAATTTAAAATAGATTTCGTTTTTTTTTTCGAGGTATGTGTAAGCTGATTCAGACACTCATACTTCTAGAGATTTTTCTATTTTTTCAAAAATATTTCATTTTTCTATTCTAATGCTCAACTTTTTGTTACAAATTTCTTTCTCACTCTAATTTTTTTTATTGGAATTTCTATTTAAAAAATTTATCTTTCTGTCTCTACCGTTTTCATTTCTAGAATATTTATTATTATTATCTCTCCGTAATGTTTATCTCTATATATTTTTATTTTTATTTATTTATTTTTGTTATAGTACATCATTTTCATTTTTCTCTCTCTAAAAATTTAATATCTTCCGACTTTTCTCTCCCTCAAATTTCCGTCATTTATAACTTTTTTTTTTCTCTTTATAATTTATTTTTTCTCTAGTAAATATATTTTCAACTTTCTCTATCTAATCTTTTTGTTTCAATTTTCTTTTGCTACGACTTTTTTTATTCTTTTCTCTAATAAATATATCTAGAACTTTTTTATCACTGTAATTTTTCTTTCTTTGTCTTCTGCTCTCAAAATTTATTTTCTTTCTCTAAAACTTTTTCCTTTTGTTTTAATTTTTCTCTCACTAAAATTTTCTTTTCTCTAAATCTATTTCTTTTTCTAGCTAAAATTTATCTTTTAAAAGCTCTGAGTTACGTCTCCAAAAGGGATACATTTTCCTCCATATCCCGACCCCAAACCACAATTCTAATTTTTAAATAATTAATATACATTTATTAATTATTGAATATTTTTTTAAAAAATTATATATATTAGTAAATAATAATTTTTTTTCGATAAAATAAATATAATATGTATATACTTATTACTCTTTTTTATTTTTTAAAATCTAAAAATAACTAAAATTAATTACTAAATCGATAATTTTCCTTGCGAAATCCTCGTCCCAAACGAGAATTGCTCGACCTAGACCTCAATTTTTATAATGAAAGAATGAGGTGGAGATGAGGATTAAAAATTTCTACGAGGAGTAGAGGATCACCCCATCCTATTGTCATCTCTCTACGTTCTCTAACTTTTTAAAAAAAAACTAAAAATCAAAATGGTTATAAACATGGTTTTCTATTTTTACAAACAACAAATAAAAACGAATCGTCAAACACGTATAATTTTTGTTTTCTAAAAATAGAAAACTGAAAACCAAACTAAAAACTGGTTATTAGACGGGCGCTATTAAATTAAAGAATTAAAATGGTATTTTTTATTTTAAAAGGACAAAAAACTATTTTGGAAGTTAGCTAGCTTTCAAATATCTGTGAGACAAAAGTGTATCATTTTTCTGCTTCAGTTTAGACTTTAGAGGATGCAAGCTGTGAACCATACCATCCACCAACACAAAACCAAAAGACCAAATATCTTTCTAATTAAAAAAATAAATAATAAAAGAAATCTTTTTTTTTTTCCGTTTTCTGACTTTTTAGTTTTTCCCAAATCTCGAAATCTTCGGTGTAATAGAAACCATAACAAAATTTAAAAATAAATAAATAAATTATACCAAATGTTGGGTGGTGCAAAGTTACGCATGCACGTAAACAAATCATACCTTAAATTTGATGAATCCTACTTTAGAATCTCACCCAGATTATCGGCATTTCTTGCCTAAAATCTCGTTTGTGCTTAGTGACTATTGAGTGGATCCCACACGTCAAAACCAATAAATACATGAACACTCTATATGCAGGTAGGTACATGCTTGCCTTGAAAATTTACCGCAGATTCTACTTACTTGAGCGACACATTTTTTTCTCTTTGTGCATATCTTCTTTGTACTTGACCAATCCACATCTTTTGCTTAAGCGGTTAAAAATTTAGCTTAAACGTAAAATATCCTTGAACTTTGACATTTGTTTAAAAAAGAACCATATCATTTTTTAAGTTTCAATAATACCTTTCGTGTTTCAAAAATTTCAAAAATTCCCTCAAAAAAAAAAATGACTGTTAATAATAAATGATAGTTAACATAGAAGAATTTAGGAATTAAGGATTTTCTTTTAACAAAAATAGTAATTAAGGAAGGATTATAAATTTGGAGAGTTTGCTTCGATACGGAAATGAAGACTTTCGAAAGCAAATACTACTTTGAAATCGAAAACACCTTACCTTTCGCCCTTATCGATCTAAAATTACGGGACTATTTTGCCGAGTTCCAGTTTCGACGGTCTTCTTGGATAGTTATAGTGCATCTTTATTTCTCCCATGCTTTCCGTTGGTCAACAACCAACCACAGCTCTCTATAGTTCTTCAACCAGATAAGAGTAAACAAGAATGTCAATTATGCCGTGGCGATTTGAAAAGGGATATAGTGAACTGCCAAGATTCGGATTTATGACTTCACGGGAGAGAACACAAGGGATGAGCAATGTTCGAACCACGAAAGGAGGAACATACCGGAAGAAGGAAATGATGTCAAGCGATTTTTTTTTTTCTTTTTTAAATGATGGTGTTTCATTCTTAATTAGAAATCTCACATAATCATTTCCTCGTTAACCAATCACATTCACGTCCACTCTTCATCAAGCCGAATGTTTTAACAATGGCGTACTTTAAACTTTATGAAGCCCAAGGGTATGATTGAAATTTTTAAAAGAACAGAAGTATTTTACAAACAAGGCAAAATTCAGGAATGTTTTTTTTCTTTTTTTATTAATCTAGCAAAAAAAAGAAAAAAACGCAAATTTCTGTAATTTGTGATTACGACATGACACAAGAAAAAACAACAGATGAGCTCACCACTGTTCCTCTCCTTCCGCCAGCTGCTTTGGTACAGCAGTGCTTTCTTCTGAAGCTGTCAAATTCTGTAACGTGTTTTCTCAGTGGATGACCCGTTTTTCTCATCATTCTTTCAATCAAACACCTTGGTTGCTTAAAATATAATAATTAAATCCATCCAACAACGAGACAAACATGAGTTCGACATCTGAAGCCAAACTCATACAAACTCTAAAACTTCGAACCACATGAATATAACTCTCTGTAATTCATTCTTTCACACAATCTAAACGTAGGCTACACAAGCTAGGCTTTGGACTTCATTTTTTTGGTTTCTACCCCCAGTAGTGATGCTTCCATGTTTTTCTCTCAGAATCAAAGCATTTGCCGAAACATATTCCCATGTTCAATTAAAAAACACCATGTCCATCTTCCCAAGTTATCAAAATATTGCCAAAGACAGCCACAGGACATGGTTCGACCGAGTTCAATATCAATGATAAAGACTCGCAATAAAGAAATGGTGTACGTGTATCAGTTGTAGCTATCAAAACCAGAAAATCATGCGTATATTGACAGTCATGTAGCACAAGTTAATGCAAAAACAATAAATTCATCAGCTAACCAGCTAAGTATTGTATATAAAGTTGCTAAAATACAAGGTATCTTATCTACTAACCTTGAGGGGAGGACTCATGTTTGAAATGATTCTCCTTCCTCAGACTTTGGTTTCTGTCTCCTGGTTTCAATAATCCAGAAACTTGCTCGGCTCTGGGTTAAAGTTCGATTCCAGGCTTAAATATATTTCTCAACTCGGATAAACAACAACGTAGCGTAAACTCTTCAAAATTTCATCCTTTTAGCTGGGCCCTGATCAATAATGGGATCTGCTGAAGGCTGTTGCAATTCTGCTGGCTGGTTTTCAGGGCCTTTTTCTACCTCTGCTGTGGGAGCAGGAACATATCCTTCAGGAAATGGTGGGGGTGGTGGAGCAGGTGGCAGCTGCAGTTTTTAACAAGAAGATTTGCCTCTAAATGACGTTCTTTAGCCAATGAATTAAAGATGTAAAATATACAAGAACATGATCAGCTAAGTCTTGATACAAAATATAAATCATAAATATGCATGTAAAACAAGTCATTTGCGATACACTTTAGACAACTTATCTCCTAAGGTAATTTAATTTTTTTAGAAGTTTAATTGTATTAATTTCAATTAATAACAGATTCAATTTATGTGATTTTGTTGGCTCGGGTCTTCTCAGGATGCATATGAAGCCTAAATTATTTGTTCTCCATCTAGAGTGAGTCACTTAAGTAGGATTATGAGTAGTTAGATTAGATATGGAATGATATTAAGAATAAAGACTTGAGGCTTCCAAACATGAATTTTTTTTTTTCAAAACAGTTATCAAAAAAACCTCAGAATTTTCTTCAGGTGATTATGGCTAAAAGAAAGACTGCATTCAAATTCTCACCAATTTTTCTTCATGCTGAACATTTGATAAATTAACCGTTTGCATACACAAACACAATATGGTTATCTTTTATAAGAAGGGTGAATCTCATGCAGTACTAATGTGTCAATTGAGGACATATACTTCGTGAATCGAGATATTTTAGTTACCTTGCGCTGTAATGATGCAAGAATATGATCAACTCGCTTTACTTCCTTAAAGTTTATGGTCTCTTTTCCAGGTTTGACTTCTTCACTCTCATTTTCAGAATCAACTGAACCAGAAATTAGAAAACAGTTAATAAAAATGTAGCTGCCAGCTGAAAGAACAAAGTTCAAAGATCATCAGACAATTAAGCAATTGGGCAATGACATGCACTGTATTTATCTAGAGTTTTATCGGAATGAATTATTGCATATAAGACCCAAAAATTGGTTTCTGAACCTGAAGCTTAAATTCAAAAGAACTTTCATAAAGCCTATTGGGCAACATAAGCATCAACTATCCTGAAAAGCCATAATAGAGTTCATCTTTCATGTTTTTTGGGAGTAAAATTGTTGTCAACCACCATGGCAAGGAGTCTCCAATTCTTCGTTGGCAACAATAAAAAAGACAAATAGCGGATAAGATTAGTATGATTTAACAAAAATTGAAAACATGATCCAAGTTAAGATTGCAAAACCGTGAGCACATTAAATCATTGGCGAATGATCATCTCTTACTAATAGCATAAAACAATAATAGCAGAAAACATATCATCAATAACTGGATACCATATCCGATCTTCTCCAACTTTGAGGAAGCAGTGGTAAAGGCCTTCGATATGTAATATAGCGCCCGGCTCTGTGGTTTAACGAAAACTCAACATAAGTTTCAGCAAAGAAAGAAACAGAATAGCCCAACAATTTAAAACAAATTCCACGTAAATTTCAAAGGGTCAAAAAGAAAACTAACATTTAAGATGATAAATGTAAGATAATCTACAATATCACAAATTAGAACAACAATTAAGTTTCCAGTTCAAGAGATATTTCCCATACTACGAACCTGATCCATATGCATCAATTATCAAGAAACAAGCTAAGATTGCTCCACAAAGAAAAAAAATGGCATTGACAAGAAAGATAAGTATGACAATCTCACAACTCGGGCAGCAAAAACATTGCAAAGCTGAGGCGCCTGGTAAATTGAACCATCCAAGATATAGTAAGTCAGCATTGGTGTGACTTTCTCAGGGCCATCCCTCTTTTGCTTTCGGAAAACGAAAAGGTGAGGCTCCATAACTTCATTCAGCATGTACTCTGTACCTGTCATTTTTCTGTAGAACAGAACATCACCATCATGATAATGACTAAATGAAAATTAACCTAGGGTTACAATTAACAACACTTGTAATAAGCAATTAACAATGTCTCAAGAATCCCAGTTCCAATTTTTTTGGCAATCTCACTTGATCAAGAATAAATCAAGAACGTGGTTGGATTATCCTATAGAATTACACGGAAAATGCATCCTACTTCTCACAGAAACAGAAATTAGAAGATCAGAAATCATACGAAAGTTGAGAGAGATCAAGGGGGTGAATGGAGCGCATTCTGAGTTGTTCGTTGTTACAAGTCCAGTCGTAGAAAGGGGACAAGGCGAAGTAATCAAAAACCAAATTGCGATCAAGAGGGTAAGTATTGAGCCAGAGCTGGTCTCTGAAGCAAATTCCGGTCATGTCCGTGCCTGGAGGCTGAGGCGCTGCCGGCGGCGGTCCCCCCTCAAAATTCGCGATCCCCGGCGGGGCCGCCGGTGGCGGTGGAGTTGCCATAAAGTAAAATTTTCACTACTCCGGCCAGAAAGTGTGGGATTAACACATCAGGAAGCACCGATTCCCTCCGCCCTGAGTGAGGAGCGGTTCGCCCTTTTTCTTGGTTTCCCGACGAGTCGACGACAGATGAGGGAGAGCGAGGAAGCAAAGCACTACATACAGTACGACATGTCGGTTGAGAGAACCAATTACCCACTCCATCCTATTATAATTATTCTAATTTTGATCAATTAACTTAACTATTGGATAAAAAACTACAAATTGCTTTAAAACCAATTATCCCTTTGTTTTGCATTTTATTTTCAGAAAGTTTTAAATTTTATTAAATTTTTAAAGTGAAAACATTTTCTCATGAATCTGTGTTATTTGTTTTTTACCTTTGATAAAAAAAAAAAACTGAATTTTTAAAATAGAAATGCGAAGTTAAAAATCTATTGAAATCGACCACTAAATTAGATGAGTGAAACTGATCCAAGTAATCAAAATTAAATTAATAATCAACCAACACTTGTGAAATCATCCAAACTAATTTTATTTGTTTTTTAAAGTATTTTTCTATGTTTGTTTAATTATTTTATTTCATAAGTTCATATATTAACCCAACTCTCAAGTCCTCATTATTGGTGAAAGGAAAGAAAAAAAAATAAAGAAATAACTCCCAAATGTTAAGTCTAAAATATATAACTTTTGCAACAAAGTAAAGTAAGAGAAGATAATAGAGACATTTTTTTGAAAAATTTAACCAACCCATAAAAACTAAAATGAGTTTTCTCTTTCTTCTTCTTTTTTCCTTTTTCCTTTTTTTTTTTTGAAACAAACTAAAATGAGTCTCTTAAAAATATGAAAAAGGAAATTGAATTAAGCTCAAATCATATAATTAGATCCAACTCTTTTAACTTTTTTTTTTAATTAAACTAAAATTGAAATTTGAGTTATTTAATCTATGCTATTTTTTTCTGTAAAATTTCAAACTTTTACCATGTTTAAAAATACTCAATTATTATATGGTTTGAGTAGACGAATTGATGGCACGCAAATAAAATCTTGCACCGATGGTGCTTGGCCACATGTACACTCTAAAGCTTAAGTTAAAGTTAGTACTTAACTTGAGCTCGTGTCGAGAGCTGGTACCTATGTGAGGAATGAATCTTGTCTTTTGCATTGTGGGATATTGGGAAGTATTGTCCTATCACTTTGGTGCCTCATACCTGACAGTCGACAAAATTTACCTCAATGTCATGATCTGCCCATCAAAGTCAATATTGACTTGATTTTTTCGCTAGGTAGTCTAGAAGTGAGTTTAATTCGCTCGATGTACCCAATTTGGTCTACCTAAGGTGAGAGTGATCACATGGTGACATATTCTTTTCTCACTCATACATAACCAAATTTTGAAATGTGGATATCAATGAGAAATTCTCATTGAAGTCCCAAAAATTATTTCAAATAAGAAGAGAACCAAACAAATCTAGACTAGAAATCAAAATTTGAAAGAAAAAAATTGCAATTCACATGTGACTATAAGACAACATATGTGTATATGTTCCACAAAGTAGAAAAATGAATATGTCGATGGAGTCAACACGTCGATATGTCGATATGTCGGTCAATATTTTACCCCATGGGGCCGTAACATCTACAGTCCAAGTACATTATTAATTAAACAAGAATTCCAAGATAGTTTGAGCATTTTTATTTTTATTTTTCCTTTACATTTTGGGTTAAATGCATCGCAGGTTTTCCAAGTCTTCGGGTCGGTCGGCTCGTGGTTGGTCCTCTCCGTTTATTTGACCACACCGTCGCCTACGGAATTTCAGAGAAAACCCAAAGCAAATCTTCCTTATAACTTAGATCCAAATCAAACCCCTTTCACTGACTATTTCTCCGGTAAACTTGCCGGAAAAAAGAACCCAAAGATCAGTGATTTAGTCACCGGCGGCGATTACTTTTTACAAGCAGAGATGAGGAAGGAGGAGGTTGTGATTCCAGTGTTAGCATCCTTGGTGGGTTTGTTTCTGTTAATTGCAGTGGCTCTGTTCTGGATTATTAAATCTCGCCGGAAACTTGCCCAAAATTCTCGGCTGGTTCCGGTGGAGGTCAAACGGCGCCGTTTTTCACATCCCCAGATCGTGAAGATGACCCATGACTTCCGGCGAGTCATCGGCAGAGGAGGATTTGGAACCGTCTTCCACGGCCACCTGGACGACGCTCCGGTCGCCGTGAAGATGTATTGCAATCGCAATCGTAATGTTCATCCAGGATTCCAAACCGAGGCATGTAAATTAATTTTACTCTACTCGTTTAATTTTTTTTTCATCATAATCTATGTGGTTTAAATTTTTAAATTTAAAATTATAATAGTTTTTAGATTGATGTTAAATGTGATTATGATATAAATTTAGAAGATATTAAGAAGGGAGGAAAATTGAAATTTCTGCTATAACTTATTAAAATTTTATTCCCTAATAATCCCAATTGTATCTAAAAAAATAATGATAAATCTTATTCTCAAAACTTTGAGCGGTAAAAACTGATTGAAATTCGAAATTTGGGAGTTGTTTCAGGTGAATTATCTCAGCAGAGTTCATCACAAGAACTTGATAAATGTGGTTGGATATTGCAACGAATCCACGAAACTAGCACTTGTTTTTGAGTACATGGCCAATGGAGACTTGAAGAAGAATCTTACAGGTTCGAAAAAGTTAAGAGCACATTTTCAAATTTTTTATCATTTTTTTTTCTGTCTCAATTAACTTTTTCATATTTCTAGAAATTTTCTCCATCTTAAATTTTTATCACATCCCTCTTTTCTAACATTTTTTTTCTTTAATTTTTAATTCTTACGCTATTAACATTGCGCTTTTCATTAATTTGTGAATAATCTAAAATCGCTTTTGGTAAATAATAGTAATTGTTCAAAATAATTATTAATTATTTTAAACAGTGGTTATAATTAAATCACTTTGACTAAATACGTTTTAATTACCATTGATTTTGTAAAAATGATTTTTTATATAATTATTTTAATGTAATTAAAAGTGATTTTGAATGATTAATATTTGATTTTAAAAGTGATTCTATGATCCTAAATTACTAAAAAGATGTTATATTGAAAAAAAAATTATTTAACACTGTTTATTAAACAATCATGATTAAAAAAATATGATACGTATAAATAGAAATAAAAAATTCACCCCACAACAAAAGGTTTTGATTTTGAAATTTTGAAAGGTTATACAACTAAAGAGAAAAACAATAAATAACTACACGATAAACTAATATAAATATCATGGTTGAATAGTAAATCATAAAAAATACAACGAATTTAAAAAATAATAATGTATATATAACCAAATAATTACTTTATATATTAGGGCAAAATACATATAATTTACCTATCATAATTCCTGTAAAAAAAAATTACCTATCCTTMCCTTTAATTTTTTATTAAGATATATTATTTTGGAGAATACTATTCTTTTATCAYCGTTAAATATTTGACAGTTCATCATTTTTAAAAGAAATTTATGTTTTTTATATTTATCTCTTTTAATTGTCAAATATTTAATTGTGACGAGGACAAAGTTGTTATTTATTAATGATTATTATCTTGTTTTGTTTTAACATAGTTAGCTTCCCAAAATTTTTTTATATTTCTTTTCCCTCACTATTTGTCTCAGTGGGCCACCGGAGAAATTGAAGAAACAGATATGTTTTATTTAAAAAACATTCAACATATCGATAATTCTAATATTATTTTAATTAGTATTAGTTTCAATTTAGAAGTTTTTTTTTTTCAACCTGTAAGCTCACGTCAGTAATATTTTATCCGGAAATATAATTTTATAATAGTAATTTTGACCCTGCTAAAATAACTTCAGAACTCTTTTTAGAGTGTTTGGTATAATAAACAAATATTAGTCTTATAATAATCAAATTGATTCATGATCATTTTTCAAAAGAATCACTTTACATTCTAAGAATCACCCTTAATCCAAAATGACTCTCCTTACGCATGTGTATATATGGTAGGAAATGTTTCAAGCAATTTGACATGGGAACGTAGACTTGGAATCGCCATTGATATGGCCAAAGCTTTGGATTATCTGCACGACGGTTGCGAGCCGCCGGCCGCCGATCATTCACAGAGATTTCAACGGTTTAAACATTCTGTTAAATGAAAATTTTGAGGCCAAGCTTTCTGGGTTTGGTTTGGCCGTCGCTCTTCCGGTCGATGACGGCGACTCTCATGTCTCCGTTGGTATTATTGCAGGCACCGTTGGATATGCCGACCCTCAGTAAGACTTAAAAACACAGCAATTTTATTATTTGTTTACAACTTTTAAATCGTTGCATTATTAACCTAATTAATTCGTATCCAATGATTTTTTAAATTAATTTTTATCAATTTTATGTGTAATGGAACTCAAAGTGTATATAATATAGTTGAAACTTTTGAAAAATGTTGAGGATCTATTAGACACAAAATTAGACACTTTTAAGGTTCGCGCATGAGTCTATTAAACACAACTTTGAAAGTTTAAAGGTTAAACTTGTAATTTAGCATTTAAAAAAAAGTTTGTCTTTAATTGACGTTAACCAATTTTGTTACTAGACATGTTTTAAATAGTTTTTTTATGGGTGAGATTTAAATTCACAAACTTTTGATTGGAGATATAGGTACAACTAGTTGAGTTATGTTAAGATTAGTCATTCATAACATCTTGTAAAATGTTAAGACGTGAAATTTTTAGACGTGAAATTTTTAGAACTATTATTGAAACTAGCTCGATTGAAGCTCGTAATGTTAATTAAAAATTTAATCGTTAGTAAAGTTTCAACAAAAGTTAATAGAGTTTGATAGATTCAGGACAAACTTGAATATGTACAAATTTTGTTTTTAAATTCCGTAAAATCATAGATTATAGAACTCTAGCTGATTGGTTTGTTCGAAAGTGGTGTTATTGATGTGGGTTTCTTGCTAGTAGAGAGGTGACACGTTACGAGGCAATTCGAGGAAGACTTTGGCGTAACCTTGCATTTGATGTTCGATCACGTACCCTCTATAGTTTAAGTTAGTATTTAATTTGAGTTAGTGTCGAGACGAGCTAAAATTGAATGCAAAAAGATTGTACCTTTAAATAAAGATGATATTATACTATAAAAGGAACATTGGAATAATGCAATCCTTCTACTAGAGAGAAACTAAAGTTCCACTAAATTTTCTGTCGGTCATAGTTGAGTCCAAGCTCTACTCCTAAACAAACATTGGTCACTGCATCTTCGTCTTGGTAGGATCGAGTTGGGGCTCGAACATACATGTCACCATGAGAGTGGGACACGTATTTACACTTGTTTTTACTTCTAACATAGCTTACTCTTAAATTTATACGTTTCCATTACGTAGTAAAGTAGAGTGACCAAAGTTGTAATTTAACTTTTTTCCACCTCATGTTACAGGTCGGGTGACAATAAAGAGTGACGTGTATGGCTTTGGAGTCGTTCTGATGGAAATAATTACAGGAAGACTAGTATATCAAATAGGTGAGAGTGAATCCGATGATGGTCTTTTAACCCATTGGGTCAACTCCATGTTTTATAACGGTGAAGTTAGAAGCATCGTTGATCCAAAGTTAGAAGGAGAGTTTGAGATCTCTTCGGTCGAGGAGGCACTAAAAATTGCGGTGGCTTGCGTCGCTGAAAACTCCGATGATCGGCCGGCGATGGCCCAAGTGGTGGAACAATTGAAGCACTGTTTGAAAATGGAAAGAACACGGTTGAACGACGGCGTTTCTTTTTAAGTACTCCATTACCAAAAAAATAATAATAATTAAAAGAAATAAAGAATCCCCCGGCCCTTTTGGTTTTTGAAAAGTGTTAAAATTATGATTGCATGTAATAATGGTAGTTTGGAATTTGGTCTCGTAGATGAATTTATAAATTTTATTGGTCGGGTTTGATTGATGTAAGTTTAGTAAAGTAATTAAAATATGACTAGATTTTAATTAAAACAAATTATGAGGTTTGAACTTGAGGTATGTTCTACTTCGTCATTGAACTAGGTTTGGATTTGGTGTATATCTGTGGCTTTAAAGTTTCAGAATCAACATTTTAATTTGAAAAGTGATTTTAAATGATCATTGAGCTGCTTTCTATTAAAATCTGTGCAAAATATATTAATTTAATAATATTTTTTAATGTTTGAATTATTATTATTTTTTTGAAAAATCCTTAGCTCCTCGTCACGATTAAAAAATTGACAACTCAATATTTTTTGAAAAAAATTTAAGTTTATAAAATACATCCCCATAATTTAAAGGTACACACATATATAATTTCTTTTTTCTTCTCCCTTTTTTCTCATTTGTTCCAAATTAACTAAAGGTACACAAATATGTGGTATGTTTAATGGTCCCAAAGTTTCTGCAATTACATCATTTTGTAAAAATGGCTACAAATAAAAAACTGTAGAAGATAAGAAAAAACGATATAATGTTAAATGTCTTCTGGACAATCATTTGAAACTATGAAAATTAAAAAGCTATATATATGTATACTTTTAAATTGTGGAGATGCCTATAAGTTTAAGTTGCATTGATTTAGAAAAAAAAAGACGAAGAAGAGAGAAAAGAATGACGTTACACTGTTTGCATAAATTGAGAAAAATAAATGGAGACAAATAAAAGAGAAAAAAAGAGGTGAGAAGATGTAGGGAGAGAGTAAAAAAATGGGAACAATAGTCAAACACTTAAAAAAAATAAACTAGAAGAGATTTTGATAAGATTATAGATTTTAATAAATTAAAAAAATAGCCAACACTTGTCTTTTTATTACAGGAACATGTAAGCTCAGTTTTTTCCTTAATTTTCATAAAAATCTCTATTTTCCATAATTTTAATGGTGGTTAAGACAAAATTACATTCTACGTTCGTCTAAATATATATATATATATATTTTAATAATTAAGAAGAAAAGATAATAAGAGTGGACTTTGACTTTAGTAGAGGACTTGATAGGTCTCTATTATGAGGTTGTATGGATGCGCCAATGTCATGTATTGCGTCTATGCTGCTTGCCAACTTGGCTTTTTGTCATATACATCAATCATAAGAAAAAATTTCTCATTCATATTGCTCCAATAATTATACCACAAAAATATATTTCAAAAAATAATAATATTAATTATTATTATTATACCACAAAATTAATTCTACAAATATTCCAGCAGGCAATCCCCGACGTCGGCAAAGCAGAGTCAATTATAGAACGTCGCCGTTTTCTGCGTGTTTGGCTCCATATCTCAACTTCTAGGCGCAGTGACTTTAGGGCTATTTTTCTAAAAGATATAATTTGCCACTAATTTTAGGATTATAATATTACATACTAAATTTCTACTTTACCTTATAATTTATCTTCATTAGAAGGTAATTTTCCTTTTAACAGATACCCACCTTTGCTTAGCTCCCAGCGAGTTAAGGTATTTGTATTTGACTAAAAGATCGTGAGTTCGAATTCTCATTTCCATATATTGTATTAAAAATTTTTTTTAAAAAATATAAGAGTAAGTTTGGAGTTACACCCCATAAAGATATAAATGCACTAAAATTACTTGTGATTAAATTACAAATTTTGTCTATAAACTTTTGTGATTGCATTTAATAAGTATTTGACTTAAAAAATATATTTAATAGACCTCTTGTCTAATAAGTTTCTAATTAATTTTAATTTAAGTGATATATTGGACACAAAAAATGAAAGGTCAAGTCTTATATTAGACGAAACATTCAATTTTATGTTTAATAAAAGATCTGTAATTTTTTTTTCTTAAAAGTATCTAATAGATCAGGAATCCATTATGCACAAGGCTTGAAAAGTTGAGAGACTAAACTTGTAATTTAATCTAAATTTATTAATGTTACATATATGCATGATTTCATACTTTTAAGATTTATTTTTTTAGTTAAACTAGTAACTATCACGTGCAATATGCACATGGAATTAAAGGTTTGAAAATTGGAGGGCAAAAATGGAAGGCAAAGATTCTCCTCCATAGCCTCATTTATATATAGTATAGATAATTATAGGGATGAAAATTGAATTACCATCGAACTTTGTGATAGCAATATGTTCATCGTAGAATAAATAATTAAATGCACCTCATCATGTATCTTCGTTCCAAACATAAATAAACCCTATAATTTGATCCTCCCCATCTTATAATATAGTATACCCACACATATATATATATATAGTACAACAACCAGACTCCTGATATCTCACCGAGAAACAGGCACCAAGCAAAACTCTAAGTATAAAAATATATTTATCTTCTCACCATTTTGCAAGAAATTGTTATATTTTTAGAAAATGGCGACCAAATTTCTCAAAGTCAGAGTCAACTAATCACTTAATTTAAATTATAAATAAAGCGTAAGAGTAAGAGACGTAATTTTGTTAGAGCTTCATTTTGCGCCCGTCGACCATGGCCCTCAAATTCCTCCTCGCTCTTCTCTCTGCTCTCCTCCATTTGATCTCTGCGCAGAATCCTTCAGGTAATTAATTAAACCTAATCATATTTTCTTTTTCTTTTCTCCAATTTTTGTGGTTGCTTGAATTGCTTTAGGCCAGATTTACTATATCATACTATTGTAAATCTTCCTCATCTAAAATATTTGTTTCTAGTAATTAAGAACTTTATCAAGGTATTTTTTAAAAGATATATTGAATTAATTTTACCTAATATATTATAAAAATTACTTTTCATGTATCAATGACAAATTTTTACTTCTTTCTTGTACACACCCATGTATATTGTTTGAGGTTTCAGACGTGAGTTTAAAATTTTGGTTTATGATAATGTTCATGTTTATCCAATGTATTTGTAGAGTTTGTATTTATTGGATTAATTTAGCTCACCTTGCTTAAAGACGTTTGAAATGAGATCGATGTTTGGATTTTGGTAGATTTAGTCTAACATGTCGAACTCATGTTTGTAGGATGGGTTTGTGTGCTACACTTAAACTTAGACTATAGTTTCTTAACATTCTCAAGCTTAAACTTTACTTGCATGAACGCTTTAATTTTAAAAAAATATACATACTAATAACAAATGTGTTATTTACTGAGTAATGTCATTTTTAATTTTGGTTTTGGAGTTCACAGGTTTCATCAGTTTGGACTGCGGCATTCCGGCGAACAAAACGTACATAGAGCCGCACACCGGCATAAACTACGACTCCGACGCGGCGTTCATAGACACCGGTGAAACCCACAACATATCCTCCTTCTACATAAGCACCACTCTAAAACATCAGCTACGGAATCTAAGAAGTTTTCCCCACGGGACTAGAAATTGCTACAAAGTGAGAGTCAAATCCGGCACCAAGTACCTAATCCGAGCCAGCTTTCTGTACGGCGACTACGATGGCCAGATGCGGCTCCCCAGCTTCGACCTACACTTTGGACCCAACTTCTGGACTTCCGTTAATTTTGACGCGGTGAATACAACAGAGCATCTGGAGATCATTCACGTCGTTTCGTCGAGTAGTGTGCAAGTTTGCCTTGTCGACACCGGCGCCGGAACGCCGTTCATCTCCGCTCTGGAGCTGCGCCCGTTGCCCAACTCCATCTACGAGACTAGATCGGGGTCGCTCGCCACTTTCTTACGCCTCGACGTGGGCTCCGCCACCAACTTATCTTATAGGTCAGTCGCGTTAAATTTACTAAATCTATTAATTTAAGTTTTGGATTGGGTCGTGATTTATTCATCTATGATTTAATATAAGAGTGCGAGGATCCAGCGATAAGTATATTTGGTTGGTTTCGTTTCTTGTTTGTGAAGGTACAAAGACGACGCTTACGATCGAATATGGTACGCGATGATCCAACTCCCAGCATGGACTACAATAGCCACAACCGAGGCCGTATACGCCAACGATCCGCTCTCCTTTCTTCCCGCGCCGCCGGTGATGACCTCGGCGGCGACGCCCATAAACGCCTCCGCTCCGATGGAGTTCAACTTCTCTCCGCCGGACGACACCACGCAGTTCTTCGTCTTCTTGTACTTCGCCGAGATCCAGAAGCTGCAACCCAACCAGTCCAGAGCGTTCCAGGTATTGCTCAATGGTAAACCCTGGACCAACGGATTGATTTCTCCACCTTACTTAGAAGGAATCGTCTCTTACAGCACCGCGCCATTGACCGGCGGAACTTACGATTTTTCCCTCGTTAAAACCCCCGATTCCACTCTCCCGCCGTTCCTCAACGCCGTTGAAATTTACAGAGTCATTGATTTCTCCCAATCGCCCACGGACGAGCGAGATGGTAAGCGGCGATTTTAATTTGAAATGTTATGCGCAGGATCTGAAGAAGTTGTAACAATTTTGAAATTGTTTTAGTTGAGGGCATTTCGAGTGTCAAGGCAGCGTATGGAGTTGGGAGAAATTGGCAGGGGGATCCGTGTGCGCCTAGAGAGTTCATTTGGCGAGGAGTCAATTGTAGCTTTGTGGATTCTGTACCTCCCAGAATCACTTCCTTGTAAGTTTCTCAGGTGTCTTTGGTTGAAAAAAGAGATCGGATAATTGATTTTACAATGCCAAAAGTGATTTTACAATTATATGTTGATGCGTGGATTTCGATCCTCCGGTTCTCCTCCTCGCACCTACCAAACTTGTTGATCCGGGACTAGTACCTGCAAAACCAGATGAGCTAAACCGGTGCGACACTAGTCACACGGGCTCCGATGCTTAAGTTAGCAGGAGGATAATGTRAAATGTAGCTAGTTTTAGATGCCCTTACCTCTAAGGCTGSATCGCTACTTATAGTCGYCAGGTTGTTCCAGAACATTCCATAGGTAGCTAACCCTAATTTCGTTGGCGGGCCTGGGCGAAACCGTGGATCGAAGATGAAGGGCCGCTGGAGGGCCGTGGGCCGTGCCACGGGTCGGGACCGAGCCCCGGGTCG